TCTACACTGCCCATGCAAACAGAACCTGAGGGGCTTCGGAATAACTCTGGAACAACAAGGAGCAACAGGACCATGGTAAGGTTTTGGTGGCCCAAGGATAAATCCATCAGATTAGGATGTACACAGAGTCCGATCACTTCCCAGGGGGGACCGTACCTAGTTATCTGACCTGGATTGGGTCAGAGGAAACCTACAACCCCAAGAGGAATGTGGGGCAGGCCTGTGTGGCAAGAAGTTGCCCTCTAACAACTCTTGGGATAAGCCTGCACAGACAGCAGTGCCCAGGCAACTCTCACAGCTCATGGGCTAGGCCCACAAAGACAGTGCCAAATGGCATGGGGCAGTAGCCTGCATGATAAAAGATCACAGAGAGTGTCCAAATTGAAGGAGTGGCCCGCATTGGGAGGGGCTAGAGAATCTGACACCAGGATGAAAACTGGGTAATATGTGTGTGTGTGTGTGTGTGTGTGTGTGTGTGTGTGTCCAAGAGCACAAAATAAAATGTATCGAGTCCAAGGTCTCCTGAGCTCAGCTGGGAACTGGGAGAGGAAAATGGACTAACTGGTCTGGAAACAAATGTAACTTAAAAAATGATTTGTACAGCAATGGCCAAAGACATGAGAAACCTGCTCAGCTTCTGGAATATATAGACAGGGTATCACAGGCAGGCTGACAGAACAAAAAAAAGAGGAAGAAACACCCTGTAAATGGGGTGATGACAGTGACTAGCCCATGGAAAAGGAGATTAAAAAATGTCTGACCAGCCAGCTAGGATGAAGGCACAAGGCCAAGAGACTTAGGTCCAACTGGGTCTGTAGAGATCGGAGGGGTGAAACGGGTTGTCTTCATTTCAAAGAGAACACTGAGCTAGACATAGCCCAAGGTCGTCCTCCTGGCTTCAGGAGCCCCAAGGCCAGCTCTTGCTGGGCGTCACCAGCCTGATGCTGCCTGCAGGTGTCTGAAAGCTGAAGGAACTACATACAGCCTGGGGCTGAATGACCTAAGTCCTGTCAGGCCTAAGGAGGTTAACAGGAGGAATCCAATTACAAATTTCAGCTAATTGGTAAACATATTTTTGGTCTCCAATTTAAGCTGATAATTTTGCTTAATTTAAAACATAAAACATTTCCTGTGCATTACAAATTCTTAAGTTGTAATTGAGGGGTTAAGTTTCCTTTTCTCTCTGTTGGTTTAACATGAGAACACTGATTCAAGGTTACTCAGGTGTGTTGGCAGTGGGTCAAATTTACAAAGTAGCAATCTGAAAAACAAAAAAAAAAGGACCAAGCACCTACAGTGCAATTTGTTGTAAAAGCTTTACAATAAATGAAAGAGAAAAATATTAAGTAGGCTATACATATAAGAAATATACTTTTGATATAGAGGATTCTGTATGATAACAGCTTTGACCTGATAAAGAGATAAAAAGAGATAATTGTAAGAACAGAAAGCTTATGTATGCCAGAGAAAGCTTGTAGAAGTAGTTTATTAAAAAAAATACATATGGTTATTTGTTAAATTGGTGGAGCTCAGGTCGTTCCTTCTAAAAACTCCTTCAAAGGAAATGATCAAATACAAAACAGAAATGCCTAAGAAAGTGATTTGTGTCACAACAGAGCAGATATGAGAGGAAAAGCATCAAAACCCACACCATTAAAATACATGTTGGCTAACTTTAAAAGAGGCTATACAGAAAACTATAAAATAAAGCTGGGACCCCCTAGAAGTTAATAACTATATACCAGATTGGCCCTTTGTCAGTGGTAAATGGACAGCCTAGGTTGGGGAGCGGGGAAGACTGACAAAAAAACAACTGGAGAGAGACAGATATGATGGTGACAAGGAGCAAAGGACTACAAGGACATCAGGATCAGTCTCCCTACACTGACTCATGGCTAAATATAGTTCAGACTAGGCCCACATAGCTTCAGCCCGGTCTAGATGCTTACTGACGAAAACTGGAGGGTTTTGCTAGCATGCGTGAGACGCAGCTTTCAGAGGGGACCACCAAAGTGCATGTAACTCATGACCAGGAGGTCAAACAAAAGCTCATAGGAGGCTCAAGAAAAAACCAGATCTATTCACAACAGCACTGACAGTGGAAAACAGCAAAACAAAACAACAGAAATCACTAAGGGGCAAAGCGGAGGACACTGACAAAACAGGAGTCAAACTGAGCCAGGATCTGCCAGTTGACCCAACCTAGATTGGGATTAATTTGCACAATACAAAAATGTGGACACTGGAAAAATAAATGTCAAAACAGCGGGTATACACTACAAAGAACACCAGAGGACTGAAACAACAGAAGCCAGAGAAAACCGAAAGACAGACAGGGAAACAAAATGGGCCACTATGACAGCCCCACAAAACGGGGCCCTAGCTATGCCCCTCATCCCAGAACCACCCCTCCCAGACACCCCAAATTACTCTCCAAATAAAAAAGCCTGCTTTTCCCAAGAAGCTAAAAAAATACAAAGGGGGATAATAAATTTGCTGATGGGAGGCTGGTCATTCCCAAAGTGCAGGGCCCCAGGTTCATAAACCAACTCCACCAGACGTCTCACATGGGAAAGACAGCATTAAAAACAACATTAGTAGGCTGCCATTTCTACGTGCCACAACTCACGACAATCACTCAGGCTATTTGTAAATAGTGCTTGACCAGTACACAAAACCACCCAAGACAAGGGCTCTCCTGGCCTAGTATTCAGTAAACAGGACCTACCCCAAGTAAAAACTTGCTAATGGATTTTACTAAATTGCCTCAAGCTGGTGGCCTTGAATTTCTTAGGGCTTGTCTCCACCTTCTGGAGATCAGCAGAAGTTTCCCTGTCCAAACAGAAAAGACAGAAAAGGTGACCAAGGTATGGTTAAGAGACATCATCGCAAGACAATGAACCCACATTTGTAGCTGACTTACTCTAGTAGCTCGCACAGATGTTAAAGATAAAAATGAAAGCTTCATATACCTTATGGATCACAGAGCTCAGCAAAATTGAAACACATAAACTGAACACTCAAACAGCTGTTTAAAAACACTGCCAAGAAAGTCACTTCAAGTAAGACCATGTTGTGCCCATGGTCATCCTCTGTCTGGTGGACTCCACTAAACAAATGGGATATTCCCCTTATAAAATTTTGTCTGTCCACCTCCAATCATTTAAGTTTGATCAAATTAAAAAATATCTGTATAATCTGGAAAAATTGTTTCTGAAGAGACAGATACAGGATTTATAAATTGCCATACAGGGAATATTCATGGTTGGGTACATGAAAAATGCCCATAAGCTTGACAGACACAATACACCCATTCAAATCTAGGAACTCTGTTTTGGTTAAAAAAATAAAATCCAACAACTCGTGCTCATAAGGGATGGGCCTCATGCTATAATCTAGTCTACCTCTACTGCTGTTAAAGTTACAGAAACTGTGCCTTAGATCTATCACAGTCCACAGAAGCCAAGGGCCCAAGACAGCTGGATCAGCCAACAGGATCCTCATCACCCAAACTATCCGATCCAGTGAGGAGATCAGGCTGCCACTAGAGACAACAACCCTGTTCTAGAACCCCAGAAGCTGACTAGTCTAGGCACAGCTGAAGCTTGAGGAAACAACAGCCCTGCTCTGCTCACTCCTGAAGCTGACCATTCTGTGTATGGTCAAAGCTTGAGGATCAACACTGAGGTACAATGACTTTGATTTCTTTTTTGGTACTGGAAATCAAACTCAGGACCTTGCACTTGCCAGGCAGGCACTGTGCCACTGAGCTATAGCCCCAGCCCAAGATACAATGACAAGGTAAGTCTCTTTTCCTTTCTGTTCTAAGTCTCCCTCTGCCCAATAGGGAGCCACTCCCCAACCCCCCCAGTAGCTCATAACAAGGTAAATGCTAATGATAGTGACACTCTCTATTAAAGCTTATTATAGAACACATCAAAGGCGAGAATGACGCATGACTTAAAGAACAATCCCCCTCGAACCTCTGTCCTGCTGTAGCTATTACTTCTTGTTCTGGTACAGATAATGCTGACAACTATGTCCTGTAAACAGTTTATGCCATCTTGTTTGTGCAGTATTCATACGACTCCGTCCTCTTTCAAGGCTAAGTTATTAATTGCTTTGTCTCACTTTTGTACCCCTGCTCCGTCCCGCCCCCCCCCCCAGTTGCTAAAGACCAACCATCTCAGCCAGAAGTATAAAACTAGAACTTTTCCTTTGTTTTAATGCCCAGCTCTTTGGCCATGGGTTCTGCAAGGTCCTTGTGCACCTAAAATCCTAGAAATAAATTCTCCTTTTTCCTTCAGTCTCTCTGATCTCTTTGATTCTGCAACATTTCCATATAAATGTTCCTTTCTTTTGTTCATCTTTGCATTGGATACAGGATCTTACTATGTACTTCAGGTTGTCCTTGAACTCACTATGTAGATCATATTGGCCTGAAACCCTCAGTGATCTTCCTGCCTCAGCCTTCTGTGTGCAGGGATTACAGTCCCTGCCACCATGCCCAGCCTCTATACCATATAAAAACTCTAATATAAGTACTTTCCCTAAAGTTTGTTTTTCCTTATTAAGTTTACTAGCACTCTTATCTACACCTGTAAAAAGATAGTCATTTCAAGAAAAAAATAGCACAAAAGGACTCACACAAAGACATTTTTCTTAATACTGTACTTATACGCAACATTCTCTAGAAAACTTTGGATTTCTACTAATCTTTTTTCCGTATCTTACTCACCCTTGTCGCTCCATTACAGCAAGGACTAAGAGTTACAAGCAATCAGCTCAGTCTTCTACCCCAGGACAAGTGAAAATAAATAAATTACAGGAATCAAGCTAGTATAGTTGGAAGCAAAGGAGCTAAATGAGCCACTCCCTTCCCTCCATTCAACTGTAAACACCACCTCCCCATTACCCAAGCTTCTGTTTTCCTAAAAGAAGTGCAACCTGAAATAACAAAAGCCTAGGAGGCCTCTTTGCTTGAGGCTAGAGTTACTGACCCCAGTGAGAGAGGCAGTGGGAGGCGCCTAGAGTCAGAGGCGTCTAATCCTCTAACTTCTGGCAGCAAGTTATCAAAGGCCTGAGCCCTTTTTGCCTTTTCCCGTTTGCCTGCTCCTGCAGCCAAGGTCCTGCGATCTTCAATAAAGGTAGCTCTTACTACATTCTGCCCTTTGTGGCAATCATTCCTCCGGGTGCACAAGAGCCCCGACTATGTTGGCCCATTCTACTGTAACACCGCGGCCCACAGCATTCAGGAAGGCGCCCACACTGGTCTCCTGCGCTCTTCCTCTGGACGGCAACTTGAGAGAGGCTCTACGTTCTCGCGCCTTCTCGAAAATCACCGACTCAACAAAATCTCACCCTTAGCGAAAAGTGACAGAGGGAGTTAACCCTTTAGCTGCCACCGAAAACCACAACAGCGGGGAACCACAAACACACACCTCTGAAAATGTGACAGCTCAACTTGACCTTTCCCAAGCATCTACCGCACTAAATACGGCCCTCTGAGGGATAAATGGGATTACACCTGCAGCTGCAGACCTGAGAACAACACCGCCGCCCGCTCCGGGCCCCGCCCCGCCCCGCCCGGTCCGCACAGCCCG